GAAGGACGCAGAGAAACAGAATGGCTCGGCGCCCTTCCAGCCTACAGCCCATCCCAGTGGTGGCTGGCAGAGGGGCCAGGAGGAAGAACGCAGAGAAACAGAATGGCTCGGCGCCCTTCCAGCCTACAGCCCATCCCAGTGGTGGCTGGCAGAGGGGCCAGGAGGAAGAACCCCCCTCCGTCACTGGTGCTGTTTAACGCCAGGTCTGTTAATAACAAAACTACAACCCTTCGGGACTTTGTACAAGAACAACATGTTGACCTGGCGTGTGTGACCAAGACCTGGGTGCAGGAGGGACAGACAGTAGCTCTCGCCTGGGTTTTCGGTCCTCCACCAGTCACGGATTCGGTGGCGGGGGGGGGGAGGAGTGACTATCTTCATTCGGGAGGCTTACTCCTTCAGGGCGCTTCCGCCAGTGGAGATCGTGGGTGTGGAGTGTGTCGGTGTGATGCTGGAGGCTGAGGAGAGCTTGGCAATCTGGCTGGTGTACTGACCACCTAACGCACCGGCCAGTAGCCTGCTGTCCCTGCTGGAGGCCGTATCAGGCTGGGTGTTGGAGCACCCTAGGCTGATTGTCTTGGGTGATTTCAACGTCCATGCCGAGGACGCGGCCTCCAGCCGGGCTACGGACCTGGTGTCGACCATGGCGACGCTGGGACTCTCTCAACTTGTCTCAGCTCCCACGCATCAGGCCGGCCACACGCTCGACTTGATCTTCGCGGCGGGGGTGAAGGTGGACTGGATTACTACGGAGGTAGTGCCATGGTCGGAACACCAGGCCCTGAAGGCCCATCTGAAGGTTCCACGCCGACTCTGTTTAGGCAGCAAGCAGAGTTATGCTCGCCCGTGGTGCCAAATGGACCCGTTGCGGCTCCAGATGGCCCTGCGGGATCCGAGGCCCCCTGGCGGCTTGTTGGATGAGCTGGTGGAGGACTGGCATGACCGGCTCTCCTCGGCCATCAATGAGATCGCTCCCAGGTGCCCTCTCCGCACTCGTGCTAGGCAAGAGCCTTGGTATACCCAGGAGCTGCATGAGCTGAAGCATGAGCTGAGACGGCTAGAGAGATGGTGGCGTCGAACTCGCAACGAAGCATCTAGAGCATCTTATAGGACATTTATGAGGGCCTATGAGATGGCAGCCAAAGCCGCAAAGAGAGAGTTCTATGCGGCCACGATTGTGTCTGCTAGCTCACGCCCGGCCCAATTATTTAGTACAATTCGGTCTTTGACAGCTCTGCCACAGGGCAGACAAAACGTTAGGGAATTGGATATTGGCTGTGAGGCATTTGCGAGCTATTTTGCAGATAAAGTCTTGGTGCTCTGTCGTGATCTCCTCGCCACAATTGAAACAGTGAGCGAACTTGAGGCCCCTTGCATGTCTTTGGAGCCGGGTTTAGAGTGTTTTGACTGACTCAGACTGGAGGAAGTGGACAGATTGCTCGTATCGGTGTGCCCAACCACATGTGACCTTGATCCGTGCCCCTCTTGGCTTATTAAAGCTGGCCGTGAGGGGTTTCGAGGTGCCCTGTGGGAGATTGTCAACATGTCCCTCACGGAGGGACAGTTCCCTAGGGCACTCAAGGAAGCGATGGTCCGCCCTCTCTTGAAAAAGCCATCTTTGGACCCGACCAAATTGGCTAACTATCAGCCTGTGTCTAACTTGCCCTATTTGGGCAAGCTCATTGAGAGGGCGATGGCGTTACAGCTACAGAGCTTTCTGGAGGATGCTTCCGTCCTCGATCCCTACCAGTCCAGCTTTCGCCTGGGTCACAGGCCGGAGACGGTGCTGGTCGCCTTGACTGACGATCTCCATAGGCACCTGGATCGGGGCGGTGTGGCAGCACTGGTGTTGCTAGATCTGTCAGCCGCGTTCGATACGGTCGACCACCAGTTGCTGACCCACCGCCTCGCCGACGTGGGGATTCAGGGGCTTGCCCTTCAACGGTTTGCCTCTTTTCTCCATGGTTGAGGACAAAGGGTGGCAATAGGGGACCAGCAGTCCCAGAGACATCCCCTTGAGTGCGGGGTGCCTCAGGGGGCTGTGCTGTCCCCGATGTTGTTTAACATCTATATGCGCCCCCTTGCCCAGATTGCCCGGAGTTGTCGGCTTGGGTGCCATCAATATGCTGATGACAACCAGCTCTATCTGATGCTAGGCGGCTGGTTGGACTCTGCTCCCGATGACCTGCAACGGGCGTTACAGGCTGTGGCTGGTTGGCTCAGGCTGAGCCGGTTGAAACTAAACCCGGCAAAGACGGAGGTCCTGGGCCTGAGTTGGATCGGCTTAGGGTGGGGGCTTCCTCTCCCGACCTTTGATGGGGTGCCTTTGGTACCAGCGTCAAAGGTTAGGAGTTTGGGTGCCTGGACTCCTCTTTAACGATGTGCCTGGACTCCTCTTTAATGATGGAGGCCCAGGTGGCAGCCACTGCTAGGGGGGCCTGTTATCATCTTCGGCTGGCTAGGCAGTTGGCCCCCTACGTTAGCCGGGAGGACCTGGCCACGGTGATCCATGCAACGGTTACCTCAAGGCTAGACTACTGTAATGCTCTCTACATGGGGCTGCCTTTGTCGTGAATCCGGAGGCTGCAGCTAGTGCAAAATGCTGCAGCCAGGCTGTTGATGGGTCTCTCGAGGAGGGACCACATTCAGCCTGTGCTGAAAGCGCTGCACTGGCTGCCAATAGCATACCGGATTTGCTTCAAAGTGCTGGTTTTGACCTTTAAAGCCCTTTATGGCCAGGGTCCAGCCTACCTGAGCGACGGAGCTCTTCCGCCAGGCCTTTGAGTAGGAGCCGCCACCACTATTATTCCACCTTTGCCATCTATGCACCATCGTACTATTACCACGATTGTCTGGATTCCACTGGAGGGGGCGTGGCGCCGCTGGCACGAAGCGGATTATAGATTTTGGGAAAGCTACCGTTGGGTTTAAGATCTACCCATTTTTTGTTTAAATTTGTATTGTAAACCTGATATTGTATTTTACTGTTTTATACTATATGTTTTTACTGTTATAATTTTGGCACATTGTGCCCCTGTTAGCCGCCCTGAGCCTTCGGGGTAGGGTGGGATATAAATCCAAGGAAAATATCCATCAGTGATATAGGAGACATAAAGGTCATAGATTCAGTATCTGCCATATCCAGCTAAAGGATTTTTGGCTCTGCAGTGACACAGGAAAGACTCTGGGCGCCAAGCTATGCACAATGCCAGATTTCTAGATGTGTTAATTTGGATCTAAAAACAGTGGGTGGGTGTGGATTGGGACCATGGCCCTGAACTCCTCATCCTTACTACATCCTGATCAAAAATAGGAAAAGGCAGGTACCTATCTGTTGTACTTGCCCCCCCCCCCATTGGAGCTTATAGCAGCTGGAGGGGTGAATTTCAGTAATGCAATCAGAGTGGGGATTTACTGGGCTGTGGCTCAGTGGTAGAGCATCTGCTCACCATGCAGAAGGTCCCAGGTTCAGTTCCATTTAAAGATATGAGGTACTAGATGATGGGAAAGGCTTCTGCCTGAGACCTGGAGAGCTGCTGCCCCTTCAAGTAGACAATACTGACCTTAAGGAGCCAATGGTCTCATTCAGTATAAGGAGGCTTCTTAGGTGTTCACCTGTCCCCCTTTCCCAGCAGCATGACCCTGACCCATATTGCTCCTTCCCCTTTGGGGCCAAATAACACACCTGGCATTTCAGTCACAAAGTCTAAAGTCATATGTTTGACCACTCCTTTTCTGAGCATTTTACAAATGTCAAGACCACAAAATTTGAAATGAATCATTTGTGAATATCTATGTCTTTGGTGCTTACTTTTTAAAAGTGAGGGCTGCGAGGAACATAATGGAATGAAAGCCCAATGACTGTCTAGGAATATCTCCAGAGCCTACTTGGCCACCAATGCAATGCATTTAATCTAGATATTTAATCTATGCTATCAAACTTTTTTGCTTAAAGAGAAACTTTTTGCTGAGCAACTAATCAACCTCTCCTGCAAAAAAGGCAACCTAGTTGGAGGGGTTTTCCAGGTATGCCTTTACAGGAAGCACTACTACAGGTAGCTATTTTTGTCTAAGATAAAACAGATAAGAAGTACGAGCAGTCGTGCGTACTCACAAGCAGCCTACCGGGGGAGAGCACGGGGCCAAGTCTACTTATTCAAAAAACTTGTGGAATGAGGCCCCCGGGAAACTATTTGGTTCGTGCGCATCAAGGCGAGTCAACCGAGCGCAAACAATTTAACATCCTGGGACGACGTCATGTAAATTACGCTCGCCTGTCTCCTCCCCCTTCCAGGGCCCAGAACGAGTTGGCCGATTGCCGAGCAGCGAGGGCTGCAGGGGACCTCCGGAGTATTGATCGCAGACTTCCAATACAACCGGCTTTTCTACACAGCCGCCCCCCGAAAGGCCTTTTGCTTTACGGTCACACACTGGAGCTATTTGCAGCCTCAGAGATTTCACGGGAAGGAGCGGCGGCTGCCAAGCCAGTGGCGGCGGCGGCGGCCGCAGCAGCAGTAGCAGCTGTTTGAAAGTCTTGGAAGAACTTTCTTCGATGAGGGGCGGGGCGAAGGGAGGCGAGCCGAGCGGCTAGGCGCCGGCAGGTTGGGTGCGCTCCCGCGGGGGTGGCACCGTCCCTGGCAGCTTCCACTCGCTCACATTCCCGGAGCCGGATCCCGATCGCGCGCCCACATCCGCAGTCCGGCCGGGCTTGGCTCCCCCTCCGCCCGATTGCCCCTGTGATGGGGTCCCCCGAAGGAGGGGAGCTGCACTTCGAGGACCTGTCCCGGCTCCGCTCGCTCTTCCTCGCCTGCGACGCGAAAGGCTCCGGCCGAATCGAGCGCGACGACTTCGGCTTGCTGTGCGCGGAGCTGCGAGTCCGGCCGGCCGAAGCCGAGGCGGTCTTCCAGCGCCTGGACACCGACCGCGACGGCGCCATCACCTTCCCCGAGTTTGCTCGCGGCTTCCGCGGCGCCGCTCGGCGGCGGAGGCAGCAACGGCACCGGGATCCCCGAGGAGACGCGTGGGACGAGGAGATGGAAGGAGAGGGGCGCGAGCAGGACGGGAGCGACGCCTTCGACGCCTTGGCTGGGGTGGCGGCCGCGGCCACTGCGGCGGGGCCGAGCCAGGCTTGGCGAGAATTCGAGCTGCGGCTCGGCGAGGAAGCGGGCTACATCCCCAGGTAAGCAGTCAGGACCCCAGCCCTGGAAGCTCTTGTGCCTTGAAAAGCCGTACAAGGCGCGGCAGAGTCGGCAGCGGGTCAGGGATGCCATGATGGGAGAATGGCTGCACCTGTTGCTTTTCTGCCTTTCAAGTATACCTTGAAGACACCGATCAATAGAACTGCGGTGGCAATTTAAAGACTAGCACGGTTTTATTCTAGCATATGTTTCGTGGGCCAGAACCTAAGTCTAGTGGTCTTCGCTTGGCAAATATTTCTGTGTGGGGCAGGGAATAGCAGAGTCCAAGGGCCATAAGTGGGAAGGATGTAATTATGTAATATTCAAGGGGAAAGTTCGTGATAGCAGTGATTTCTCTATTTTTCCTAAGCTAGTTAATGTCAGAAATGGCTGTGGGGTCTAGGTTGGACCAAGATTGATAGCACTGAAAATGATGCTGGGTTGGATTCCAGCCAGGTTTCCTGATCTTGCCCAGTTCTCCTCCCATTCCACATCATGGTTGGATGATTCTCAGCCCAGCTCTTTTGGGTGGTCAGAGGGAATATCACTTAGCATTTTCACTAGCAAAAAAAGCTGATTGGGTTGAATTTCTGAGTCCCCGTTTAGCCCCGAAGTGGAAATTGTGACAAACTTCTTGATGAATTTAAGTTAAGCAGTTTCTTACTGGAGGTCCCCTTTATTTATTTATTTATTTTTGCTGAAGAATGGTCAGCACAGAGTCTCCTAGAAGGGTTAAATGTTCTTTTATTGGTTTCTTAACATGACCATTTTTAATGACAGATTTACTTTTCTTATTATTTTCTGGGAATTGGCTTGTTTGTCCATTGTAGTGAGAACAAGGGCATTGCTGGCACATGGGTGATACATCCTTTGCAGGATGAGCCAAAGAAAGATGGAGTAGGTGATGTCATTAGGTCTTATACTGGGGACGGAGCTGGTATTTGGGTTTGTTGTGGAGGCTGTTCCCTGGGCTTATGCCTTTGTTAGTGGTCCATTGTTGTTGGTAAGAAGGGGATTTGCGCATGTCCTATTAACAGCAAGCTAGCAACTGTAGCCATGAGGCTAGGTCCCTTACTGCTGATCAGAGGCCCAGGGTAAGGGCTGATTCTGGAGACAGAGCAACACAAAAGTGTGCTGAAGAATTTCTGGCAAAAGTCAACAATGTGGTGCTTCTAGAGTCTGTGTTCTTCTGGCGTGTACTCCTTTGGGATCTCTTCTGCTGCAAACCTGTAAGATGCCACGTTGCTTCTTGTCTCCTTGTCTGCTTCAAACAAGCAGAGCTTCCTTCTCCAATTTCAAAAAGTCTCCTGTTACATTGAAAGAGAATAGAAGAGCATAACTTTTCTGTGGGGTGCCTTGCCATTTCTAGAAAGTTTTAGGTTTAGAGGTTTATACCAGATGATGCAAAAATAACTACACGAGACTTGCATTATGTCACAGCTGTGGGCTGGAGTGTCCAAACTGGTGGTTTATCACCCTGCCCTTAAAGATATATCGTGGCTGCCTTTCATGAATGTGTCCTGTTAATGAGATAAGAACACTTTTGATGATAGTTGATTTCCCATGTCTGTTTGCTGCAACCAGACTAATGATGTGAAAGATGTAATTATCAAATTGTACCACATGATAGTGAGAGTAAAATCTTGAGCTGTCAAAATGGGAGTCTTCACACTGAGAGAAATGTTGCTTCATGAGAAGTGAGCTGTTCTCAGTCGTAATACTGTAATATGAAACCTTATTGGCATTTGGTTTCACTTGCATAGTTAACCAGTGGGGCATTGGGTACATTGTTCTGAGGCCCGAGTCTGACAGAGTACTTGATTTGCTGTGACTGCCATACGGAGGACTCTTCTGGCATTGATGTTTTTGAGAAACAGAATACAGAAAGTCACTTTTTAAAAGGCTTTTAAAAATCTGTCTGCCTTCCTTCCGGGAGCTCAGAAATTCACTTTCCTTATGCTGTCCTCACAACAACCCTGAAAGATAGATGGTGACTGGCCCAAGGTCCCTCAGTGGCTTCATGGCTGAGCAAGGCCTTCACAATCCTAGTCTGCCGCTAATCGCTTCATACCACACTGACTCAAAGGGATAGAAAATAGGACTTTTTCTTCGAACAACAAATACAAATTATCTTCCTTCTTCAAATGGGTGCACTTTTGATCCTTTGGTAATAGAGAAATTGATTAGGCAATTAAATTGAAGATTATTGAATGAACACTGTTTAATTTGATTGTTTATTCAGGTGTTTATTCCTTAGTTTTCTTTCCACTGGGGACCCAAAGCCGCTTCCAGTTTCATTTTTTCCTTTGCCACATTATCCTTCCAATGACAACTGTGTGAAGTAGTTTAGGCTGAGAGTCAGTGACTAGCCCTCATAGAGTAGAGACTCAAACCCAGGTCACCTGGATCCTAGTCTAACACTCTAACCACTACACCACATTGTCTCTCTTAAATGATTATGAACTAAAACTTAGAGTTTGGTTTCCACAGAAATGTGGGGGGGGGGAAATGAGGGCCTACTTCTGTATAGGATTAAACTGTAATGTTGTTTTATTGAGTTTTTGTTGCCCTGTCTTGAAATGTGCAATAGTTTATTAGTCATAAGAACATAAGAGATGCCAATGTTGAATCAGGCCAAAGGCCCATCCATTCCAACACTCTGTATCACACAGTGGCCAGAAATACCAGTGCCATCAGGAGGTCCACCAGTGGGGCCAGGGCATTAGAAGCCCTCCCACTGTTGACCCCCCCCCCAAGCACCAAGAT